AGACAATGATTTCATTGATTAAAAAGGTTCACAGAAGTGTTCTGTTTCATTTACTTACAGAAACGAATCAATTATGTGGATCCAAAATATCAGATGAGGCAGATAAAGTTGACCAAGTTAAAATCTCATAGTTGCAGTTTCTTCTTCCGGCCAGCAGGTGTCAGTACGCGATTTTATCGAAGCTTAGTAACCCAGTAAAGTGGACAAAGAGTTACAATCTTCTTCTTATGTGCAGTCATCGGAATCTGCGCCTACATTTTGTCCGTGTCTTCAGTGACAGCAGGAGGTGTCGTGTGTGTGTTTTGAGGCTGTTTTAAAGCGAAACCATGGCCAAGGACATGACTCTGCTGTGGGGCTCCGGCTCTCCTCCCTGCTGGAGGGTCATGATCATGCTGGAGGAGAAGCAGCTGCAAAACTGCGACAAAAAGCTGCTCTCCTTCGACAAGATGGAGCACAAGTCCCAAGAAGTGTTGGACATAAACCCGAGGGGTCAGGTGAGGACAGCAACGTAAAAACAGAAACAGCAAATAGTGATATCTGCTTCCTGTAGCCGCGTTTTGATAAGCGCATAATAATCATATCAACGTCATGCTCTTATCAGCAACATGTATGCACTGTTGCTCTGCAAGGTGCTTAACTCCTATTTAAAAAAATAAATAAAAAAAGACATTTAAAGATTTTAAGTAAATTAACCTGTTTGAACCAAATGGAAGAGTTTAACCAAAAACACAAGAACGAAATATTTAATTCGGCATATGTTGCATTTATCAAATAGGTTAATTAAAAGTAATAAATCCATGAACCTGCGCACTTCCTCCCGATGCCTTTCATGTCTCGCAAAGGCGCCATAAAAAAAAAAAAACTAAGCTAAGTCATAAAGTTAGTGCTTAGAAGTCTGGCCTGTTTTGGTTGGATGCTTTTAGTTTTGAAAAAAAAAAGAAATATTACAATAAAAAAAACACACACACACACAAACATGCTTAACGACGCATTTTGAAAGTTGAGAATGTGAAGATATGAACATGAAAAGGTAAATCTGATATAAAAATCAAACTAATTACAAATATTTGCAGTTAAATACAAAGCAGGTGAGGCCTTCTTTCTGTTTTTGAAAATAGTTTCTGTCCAGAATGAGGCAGTTACATAACTGCACTTACTGGGACTTTCTTTCACTTTTGTTTTGTAAAAAAAAAATGACGACGATGTTGAAAGAAATGCGACGCCTGCAGTGCATGTTTCATATTTCATATTTACGCACGTTTTTTTTTTTTCCACGCACGTTCATAACATCATATCTCTGGTTTTACGTGGTCAGTCCACATGAAAACGTCATGATTATATCACGGTGGACCAGGAGCTAATTAGGACAAGTTGTTGTGCTGTACTAGAGGGATTATTAGGAACTATTACTGACTATAAAATGTTTAAAACAAATTAAGTTTGAAGGTTTTGTGACTATAAACCCAGAAACAGCAGGTGCACCTGTGCTGTAATGAAGCCCTGAACCAAAGTATGTTGAAAACTCTTTTATTTCTCATTTACTTGTAAAATACACGTCTCACAAACCTAAAATTAAGACTTTCAATTATTCTTTAAAAGCTTATCTTATCTTCAGCATGATTGTGGTACATCTACTGTAAACACACTTGACAATGACAATTTTGAGACCACGTAAAACCAGAGATATGATGTTATGAACGTACATGGAAAAAGTGAAATGCATATGAAAAATGCACTGCAAGTGTCGCATTTCTTTCAACATCTTCGTTATTTTTTCACAGAAGTGAAAGAAAGTCCCAGGAAGGGCAGTTCCTGTCATGTGGCTGTCTGCCTCATTCTGAACAGAAACTATTGTCAGTACTGGCATAGAATAAAAGAGAAAGAAAGCCACACCTGCTTTGTGTATCATTGCAAATATTTGCATCGAGTTTGATTTTATATCAGATTTACCTTTTCATGTTCATATCTTCACATTTTCGACTTTCAAAATGCTTCGCTAAGCATGTTTGTGTTTTTTATTGTAATCAAAAACATATTTTTTCAAATTGGATTTGATGTTTTTTGTGTTTTTGAGCCCAAAATGTTAATATAGTTGGTTAAACTGACAAAGTAATAGTCAGATCATATGGGTGACACTGTGCTGATGCCAAACATGGGCACGGTAAACATGTTTCTATGTGGTATATAAAGACAAAACTAAAAGTATGAAAAAACAGGCCAAGACCTCTAAGAGTTAAAACATGATGCATAACAAAAATTAACAGTTTAATAGTCTGTCTCGCTCACATTATAGCTTTTCTTTTTTTTTTTTTCAGCTGCCATCTTTCAAACATGGAAACATCATCGTGAACGAATCCTACGGTGCCTGTTTCTACCTGGAGGTGATGGAGACACTCCAACAAGCAGTTTTACACTCAGCATCATTAATTGTGACAGATGTTTAAATGGGTTTTCTGTCTTAATAACAGAGCCAGTTTAAAAACCAGGGAACCAAACTGGTCCCCGACGACACCGCACAACAAGCGCTGATGTACCAGCGCATGTTTGAGGGTCTCACGTTCTACGATAAAGTCGGTAAGACAAATAAAAGTTTGTAGTTGGTCCCCTTCCTGACAAGATTGGATTATTGTTTTCGGCTGTTATTTCCTCTTTCTACTTATTCCATTAATTTTAAGCAGCAGTGGTTTATACCGTTGAAAGACACAAAACAGTATGATGGTCTGACTATTAACAGCAAAGGTTTTCTTCCAGACGCAAGTATGATTTAAATCCATGACCAAAAGACCAAGAAGAAACTGATGCTGCATCTGTTAAATCCTTAATATATCTCATTTGGATGTAAATGGACACAATAGTTTTGTTTATGCACCAGCAAATACAAAAAAAAAAAGACTCTTGTGGTCATTATTCATCATAAGAACTCAGGAACAGAAGGGGACATTGTGACTGTATTACACATTTGCCTGGATACATATCGTACATATATCTTGTAAGTCTTGATAGACATGGATCTAAATTCTGGCCTATTAAATGAAACTACGTATTTGTGACCTGTGTAAACTATATATTTGTGTTGTGAACATCCCTTAACAATAAGTTGTTGGTAAAAATGCTACAATGTGAAGCCACTATCTGCTTAATATGTTAAAATATGCGTGTGTAATGTTTTCCTCATTTTAGGGGCTGTTATCTACTATGAATACTACGTCCCTGAAGGAGAGAGGCTGGAGTCAGCGATGAAAAGAAACAAAGAGACTCTGGCCACTGAGCTCAAACTCTGGGAGGGATACCTGGAGAAGGTATGGTCGTGAGCAGTAAAGAAACACAAACTGACTCCACATCCACTGATGCATTCAAAGTAACTGTGTTTTTTTTCCCTTTCAAGCTGGGATCGGGCTCTTACATGGCAGGACCGTCTTTCACTCTGGCCGATGTGGTTATTTTTCCAACTGTTGGTAATCTTTTCAGATTTGGGTAAGAGAAGCAGAGAGTGTAAGTGATGCTGCCTTCAGATGGACACAAATGATCAGTTGATAGCATCGGCTGTAAGTTAGAAGAACAATGCTGCTTACAATGGAAGCATGAGCATTACTGTCAGTGGCTAGAAGCCAATGAGGCTCACCATTAGCAAGCTAACAAGTGGGTAATGTAGGAAATGCAACAGGCGCAATGAAAAGATAAAGCTGTTGGGAAAATCTACATGCTTTTTTTCTCGGAAAACTGCAAAGAAGACCAAGTAAAAATTACCATATGTTAACTTACCATTTTCTCAAAGATAAGCTTCCATGACATCCGCCAAAACATCAGCAAATTCCTCACAACGCGTGAGCTCAAAGCTTTCAGATAGTGTTCCAAAGTTGTGAATACCACAATTCTTACTGACGCTTTTCATGAACACGATAAACCCAACCCCATTTGAAGGCAGTAGAAAGTGCAAACAGAGGGAACCTGTTTGCACTTCCATGAGATCCAATCAGTAAAATACCTCAGGGTGTGTAGATGTTAAGTTTGAATGCCTGCTACTTTCTGATCTGCAGGTTGTCTGCTCAGCGTTACCCTAAACTGGGAGCGTATTACGCTCAAGTGAAGGACAGACCCAGCGTTCAAGCCAGCTGGCCTCCTCATTGGCTGGAGAATCCGAAGGGCGATGAGGAGACCCTGAAGGACGTGTGATATCAACACACACTTTTAAATGTGATGTTCTGGTGTGACTACTAATGCAAAGCTTTTGCTTCCGTCTAACAAAAGCTTAACTGACAGCTTGATAAATATGATACAAGCCATGTTTTGATTACTAATGCTGTTAAAGAAATTGTTGGCAAACTAAAACGTTCTGAACACATTAGAGTATTGCAGGGACAGATATGTGGTTCTTTGTTTTTTGATTTTGAGGCCCTCTTTAAACCAAAAACTGTATAAATGCAACTGTACATTCGATGTTGGCAGGGTACCACCAGCAGACACAGCAGCTTTGTGCGTGTAACCTCAATCTGTGTCGACTCACATGTGCCTGAAGTCAGTGTTTTGGCTTAAATGCATATCAATAAACATTTCTTGTAGGCTCTGTGTATTCATACTGCCATGCTTAATATATTGGGGTGATAATTTGTGTGCGCTATAAATTTCCAATCTCACACCTCCTCCGTGTCAGAGTAGAAATGTGGGCGGTGTCTCTGTGGACATGATCTGTGTTTGCTGTTTGAATAAGGAGATTATTTTCTGTGTACAAAGGTAACTCAAATGTGCTGTGTTGTTATGACTTTGCATAAATGACATTGTTCAATGTTGCTCCCTTTGCATGAATAGTGCATTTTCTGTTGAATGCACAACCACTTGGAGACACACCAGCCATACTGTATGTTCATATGTGTCACTTTAATAAACAGTAAACGTGTGCATCAGCTTTGCAGGAGAGTTTTCTATGACTTTGAACATGGATTCAGATCCAAATAGAGCAGCACTACAGCTGTGTGAAGTGGCAAAGCTCAGGTCCTTGTCTTAGACCTTTCATCCAGTTTAAATGTTCTGCAGGTTCTGACCTGTTCCCCCCCATGCAGCTGATGATACAGTAATAAGGAAGAGTTAAAATAACTATCAAGGGCTGACACAGCTAATCCATCAGCCTATACTGATAAGAAGGAATATTTTTTTTATGGTGATGAAATTGCACATTTTTATTTGTCCTATGATCGGTGTCTGCATGTCAAGTTCACTACTGGCAGGACTTCATTTGCAACTGCAGGTCTCACTATTGTGAAACCTAAGCCACATAGTGGGTTGAAGAATATTCAAAATAGGACTTCTTTCTGAAAACACTAGACATGAACAAAATGTCCTCATGATCTTGGGATTGAAATATACCAGATTTTACACTGAATCAAAGAATTTCGTCGGGACAGGAAACACCTTTGTGCCGCCTTATTTGTAGATCTTTCAAAAGCATTCAATTCAGTGGATCATGAACTGCTTCTAGACAAACTCAGAGAGGTTACCTTTGGTTACAAGGCTCTTAAATGGTTTAACAATGACAGATAGAACTCAGTGTGTCCAAGCAGAGAGCCATGAATCAGATTTTCTTGAGGCAACTAAAGGAGTCCCCCAAGGTTCCATTTTGGTCCCCATCTTATTTTCTATTTTTATAAATGATTTAGGTAAAGTCATTCAAGCCAAATTGCATTTGTATGTGGATGATACAGTTGTCTACACATCTGCTTCCTCTGCAGCACAGACAATAGATGAACTTCAGACTGCATTTCAGTTATTACAAAGAGCTCTAAGGAATCTAAAATTGGTTTTCAACACCCAGAAAACAAAGTTTATGATTTTATCAAAGGGTCGCTTACAGAACTTCAGCAATCTAGGATTTTTTTTTGACATCTGATGGCACTTTGATTGAAAGGGTGTACATATCTATAATTTAAACTCAAATTGAAGATTGGCTTTTATTTTAGACATAAAAAATGCTTCACATTCTCTGCAATAATCTGTAATATATAATGTACAGCCACGCAGCCTCCTCCACCTGAAAGAGACTTGATTTGGTGTATCACGCTTCACTACGTTTCATCTCAAATGCAAAATCTCTCACTCACTCCTGTATTCTTTATGATTTGGTTGACTGGACATCACTAAGCGTTAGTAGACAACAACACTGGTATATGTTCATCTATGAAGCTCTGCTGGGTCCTTCTCACTCCAGTAGATACCATCTGCATGCCTCAAAGTGGTTGCTTTTAAACTTCTCCCGGACTTTAACAGATTTGGATAAAACAGTGTTCTCCTATCATGCACCATGGTCATGGAATAACCTTAAAAGAACTCTTAAACTAGAAACATTCACATCCATTAATGAGTTCAAGAGTATCATAAAGAACACAGTAAAAGGGGAATGTCAATGTTTTCTTGACAGTCTAAGGCTGGTAGGTAAATAAAGAAGAATGAATTCAACCTCTGTTTATGCAGGGTGGTGAGTACTGATAACACAAAAATGGGATGGGGCTTAATTCCACCAATCCCGATGCAGTGGGCTGGAGCTGCTTATAAAATCAGACATCTGTCACAGTCCAGTTCCACTCCTCTCTTCTTTCAACACATACAGCTTCAGCCGTTGCACTTCTCTCTGGAACCATGGCCAAAGACATGACTCTGCTGTGGGGCTCCGGCTCTCCTCCCTGCTGGAGGATCATGATCATGCTGGAGGAGAAGCAGCTGCAGGGCTACAACCAAAAACTGCTCTCCTTTGAGAAAATGGACCACAAATCCAAGGAAGTCATGGATATGAACCCCAGAGGGCAGGTGAGTTCAAGTCAAACTCAACATTTACTTAGAAAATCCTCACACAACTTCAGTCTGCATTCTGTTCCTGAAATGCATGAATTTATGTTCACTTTACTATTACACATGCTTAAACTTGAAGCCATTGTTTTAAGTTTTAATTCTCATCTGTCTGTCTTAAAGTTTCCTGCCTTCAAAATTGGGAAACATGTCCTGAATGAGTCCTACGCCGCCTGCTTGTTCCTGGAGGTGAGAACTTGGCTGAAGTCTTGAACTTGGCACTAGTTAATATTTCATCTAGCCAAGGAGCTAGTAAAACAGACAAACAGACACTCTACACCGCAAAGGCAAAGAAACCGGAGCTCCATGCTGTTCTTCATAGCAGTTGCTCTTTTCTTGTTCCCAACAACAGAACCAATACAAGTCCCAGGGGACCAAGCTGATCCCCGACAGCGTCGATGCACAAGCACTGATGTACCAGCGCATGTTTGAGGGTTCCGCACTTGCCGAGAAAATACGTATGTTAACCCTGATATGAATACTTAGGTATCTGGCTCTTGTTTTGCAAGCCGAGACCCTCCTGCTGGCCCTGAAAATCCTCCATCTTGATAAAAAATGGACCAGATTATTTGAGTTTCTCCAAATTCCCTCTGAACCCCTTGCATTTAGTGAGTTTTTACAGACTATCCAGACTACTAAAGCTCAGTCGTAATTGTGACTCGTAATTGTGACTCAGCAGTTTCCGCCATTCTTTTGGGACTTGAGCTCACTTGGCAACATCATAAGACAATACTGCTGCCTTTAACCCTTCATAGGGCACTGGCTTAAATACCTGGAAATTAAAAATTTCAACCCTGGAGTTTAATTAGTGCATATAGGAGGACACTTTCCTTTTTGACTTTTTAAAAAAGTTTTACATTAAGGCTGCAAATCAAAGTCAAAGCAGTTACCATCTACGATTCCTCACCCACCTCAGTGTGAATCCAATGTTACATAATGAAGTCCTGACTGAGCCCAGCCACTGCTGGTGAAAGAGTTAAAGCCCAAACACGACGTGGAATTCAATGTTATGCAACATGAGCAGAGATTTTTCTGATATGCCTCATATCTCAGAAAATGGTCGTTACAACTAAATTCCTGTTCTTGTGTTTCAGCGGCTATTCTCTTATACAACTATAGAGTCCCAGAGGAAGAGAGACACGACGCTGCTCTGCAGAGATACAAAGACGCTCTCACAGCTGAGGTCAAGCTCTGGGAGGGATATCTGAAAAAAACGGTAAAGCTTACTAAACCCTTAACGCTCACAACACTAATTCATAAGCAAGAGGATGTAAGGAGTTTAGTGTTACAGTACAGCAGCAGCACTCTGTATTGTAGGTGTTGTTGTTTTATTTTAGCTATATTGAATTTCCCTTCTGGGATAAATAAAGTATTTTTCATTTCATTTCATATTAAATGTTCACACAAGTGCTGCTCCAAGTATCCTCATGAAACTGGATGATCAGGGAGGATTTTTACAACTACAGTTTATACGACACAAAGATTTAACTTTAACCCTATTCAGGACTTTCATGTTGCCATATGCAGAATATCCATCCATCCATCCATTATCTATACACCGCTTAATCGTCACTAGGGTGGTGCTGGGGGGAACTCAGGGCGAAGGCAGGGGACACCCTGGACAGGTCGACAGTCTATTGCAAAGGGCCCAAGACAGAATATGTGCACAGTATTTGTTGGTATTCATTGTAGACTTTTACACTATGTTAAATAAATTTTATGATAAGTTGACATATATTTGGTTCCAAATGCATGACAAATGTCCCTCTTTTTATATTTAAAAAAAAATATTCAAAAATTAAAAAACCCCAATACCTGTCACCTAAACCAAATGGTCTGGGGTCTAGAAGACCCCAAAAGTCCTGAATAGGGTTATTCTTGGCAGGATGAAGGTACAACAGGTTTAATTTTAGTCAATGCGTAAAGAAACACAAATGTTTAATCATTACAGCTGAGAGTTAGATGAGCACATTGATATCTGAAGCTCAGCCCAGGTTACAAAAAGGCTGTACCAAAACAGTGTCACCTATGATGGATGTGAAATATTTATCTATTAAAGCTCTTGTGTTCTCTCCTCTAGGACTGTTGCCTGGCTGGAAAGGAATTTACATTGGCTGATGTGCTTGTTTTTCCGTACATTGCTATGCTCTTCCGCTGTGGGTAAGTAGGTTAAACGGCTTTAAGCGGCTCATCAAGATAAATGGATGGAATAATAAACAGTAACATTTGTACAATTTAAAATGTCACACTGGCTTTTCTCCTTTCGGTAGGTTGTGTAGTGAGCGTTACCCCGCAGTGGCAAAATACTACAACTCTCTGAAGGACAGAGCCAGCATCAAAGCCACCTGGCCTCCTACCTGGCNGGTTTATTTGTATAGCACAATTAGTGCCCGAGGCAATTCAAAGTGCTTCACACAAAACTATACGAAGACAGATAAAGTCAATCCACAAAACATAAACACAATCATTAACCCCTTAAGCCCGAGACTCGGGTTTTACAGAAAGAAATAGTGTGAAACAATGCACTCATCATGAAAGAATATAGTGATGTTATACATCAAATTAAACAGCAGAACCTGGGCTACAAGCATATATCAGCCATTTCTACATGCCTCAAACACAATTCAAACACCAACTAAATTAATTATCAAATATGCAAATCGATATAGCGCCACCACGTCATCCCACTCGTCACATTCCTGGCTCTGTCGCTACTGTACGTTATGAAAGACGTACAACCTACCTCTCAAAATGAAGCACAGAGTCCCCAGATTCTAAACATATCCATCAGAGCTCTCTAAAACCAAAGCATCAGAGAGAAACAACCCAAAGAACAGCAAAAACCGAAACCGCTTCGTCAAACTGTAGTTGTAAAATGTCTCTTACCTTAGCTGTTTTGCCGTGAAAAGTTTATTTTATCGGTAAATCCACACCGGAATCAGTTAGTACTACTTCCTGTGCCACACGGAAAGCACGTCACCCGTCTCTGGGAGAGTGTGTGAACCGTAGGATGCTTCGGCAAAGTGGACGAGGGAGCGAGCGGCGAGAATACCAGATGGCGGTCTACTG